TTGTTGTGTTCACTGATCTATGCCCAGAGCCTTGGACAGAGCCTGGCACAGAGTACACGCTCAATAAATATTTGTTGAATTACTTTTTTAATTTCTCTGTCTATGATCCAGGACTCTCATTCTAAGAAGGATGTGCAGCTTGTCTGAGCACATGGCTCGTAGTGGTCCCACACTAGCTCCTAATACTTACTATTTCAAGATTGAGACCCCCAAAGCAGGCCCTAATAACTTATTCTAGAATTTTGCTGGGGAACTACATCAAGATCACCAGCTACTTACAGAATCCACCTTCTTTATATGGCTTGTCAGTCCTGGGCCCTATTTTTCTCGGAAGCTCCTATGTCACCAATAGTGATCCCACTGCACGTTCTTTCAGTGCCCTTGGCTGTCATTTATCTGGATCTTGCTTAGATTAGTCTGGTACTTTCTGGGTTGCATTCCTTCTCTTGAGCTCACTTCTCCATGTCACCAAGATCCTGCTGTTCCTTTTATGAAAAAAATCATTCTCTTCGATAGGAGACAGAGGCAAAAAGAGTTGGGGGAACTCTGCTTTCCCTGTTACCTCCAACCTGACACCTTCAGGCTCAAACAGCAAGCTTATTTCTTTCCCTGTTCTTCCTCCAAATATAACATTAAATTCGTTTGCCAACTTGAGCTGTATAGAGCTTCCTGACACTATTCTTTTGAGTCTTTGACAGCCTTTGACAGTCTTTGACAGCCTCTAATACAGGCATTTCTGCTATAAAACTTTATGTGCATTTTTCTAAAGACCCACATTCTGAAAGTACATTACAGAAAATGACCTTACAGGAAAAACAGGATTGTGGCAGACCACTCAAGACTGATGAAACTTTGTAACAAGAATTCTAAAAATACAACACAAAAATCTCAATTAAAATATTGATAGTTAAATCTCCACCAGCATTTGAACCTCGAATCCCTGTCAGTCCTTTGCCCGCTGTGTCCTGGGATGTGTGCTTCTACCTTTTAGAAGTAGGTTCCAAAGAGCCTTCACTTCCAAAAGAGACCGTGTTCATCAAAAATAAAAATCTGATGGAGGGTCTGCCTTCTTCATTATTCCATGGTTTCATATAGAAGTAAATTTCTTTGTATCTCTTTCGTTTGTACTTATTGCTTCACCAGATGGCTTAATATAAGTGGAAACCGTCCAATTACTGCATCCAAGGAAGGCACTTCTATTGAATTTTATGTTTCTCAAGGTCTTTCGATATTGCTGAAATGTTCTCTTTAGTTGGAGAAAGTTTGCCTCGATCACATCAAACATGAAAGCTGGAAAAGGTGCTTACAAACCAACACTACTTCCACATTACACTGATATCATTCCCTATTTACCAATTGCCTATGAACAAATTCACATTAAAGGAGCATTCTTGGAAACACTATAGTTGGGATTTGATTGTGGTCATCTGATTTTTCTTCTGCCTTTATCCATATCTTTTAAATTCTTGAACTTTTTGGAAAGCTGCCTCATAGTTATTGTTCATTACCTTTTCCTCTTTTTCTCTATTAGCAAAAAAAAGAGAGACAGTGGTAGGAAGGTTTAGTATGAATACCTTGCTTGGGCTTTGTAGCGGGTAGCTCTGGATTCAGATCTTGGCTCCCTCCACTGTTTCATCATGTATAATGTGAGTCATGTCACTTAAACATCCCCGCCCCACCCCACCCCCACACACACACACACTCTGCAAGGGAGCAGGGCTCAGGGTCTACATTAGCAAATAAAAATACCTATTTGAAGTGACTGCTGTTCTAAAGATTAATAATTACGTCTATAACGCATATAGCATGAAGCAGATACTTAGTAAATGACAGCTGTTAAAACTAGGGTCCTTTGCAGAATTTCCCAACCAGGAATCATCTTCCCTCTCAGATTCTCTTTCCAGGGACTCATGCATATCTGTTCCTTAAACCCTCACTAAAATTCAACTCCACGGTTGGGGCCCTGGTTGCTCTCATCACCGCTGCTTCCCAGCATTTATGTCAGTGCCTCTAGCACATTGTAGATGCAAATTTATTGTTGTTGAATGATTGAACTGAATCTTACTCACATTTATATTTAAGCTTCTGTACATACATTATTCTTCTTAGTACATTATCTTAAGTTCTCAAATGTTTAAGGAAGGCTGGATAAGAACAGCTGTGCAGAACTCGGGTCAACGGTGGGAAGATGGATGGAGTGCAGCCCTGGGAGATTTGGGGGGAAGAAAGTGTGCATGGCAAGGGACAGCAGTCTGAGGCAATGATCAGGTCGATACATCTCCAGGCTTTTCTTTGACGGAAGTCACAGTATAATCTCAAAAGTGACATCCCATCACTTTTGTTGCATTCTGTTTGTTAGAAGCAAGTGTCTTGGTCCAGCCCACTCACGGAGAGGGGCTTACCCAAGGGGGTAAATACCAGAGGCCAGATCACTGGGATCCATCTTAGAAGCTGCCCACCAGACTCCCGTTTTACAAATCAAGAAACAGAGGCTCAATGAGGTTTAATTACTTCCTCAGGGTCACCTAATTATATGCTTCGTAGGAGTCAAACACAAAACACTTTTCCTTTTAATCACTAAGCATATAAACAAAGTCAACTTAATCATATTTTAAGTAGTAGCTACTATATAATCCTTATATATGTTCTTATTTAATTTTTACAATAGGCCCGCAGAGTTGGGTAATATAGTCCTCATCCCTAATAGATGAGAAGCAATGACTGAATCAAAAGATGTAACGATTTGCCCAAGGCTGCAAAGTAGCTGAGTGTATCCCCATTCCTAACGAAAGAGTGGAAGAGGGTTTGGCCTGACCTTGGGAGGTGGGCCGCTCTAAGCAGCCCACCTCTGCTTCCTCTGTTGCAGGACCAGGATGGTTTATCAGGCCTCCCTTTGGCCTGTGTGAAAATATCCCTCAACATCATTGTCCCCTCTTAGGACTGCTCCCAGGCTCACCAGACCACCGCTGGTGACTTAATTTCACTTGGCCCTAGCTGGAAACCTGAAGGTGTCAGGCACTGGACAAGAATAATGCTCATGTCTGTGCTCCAGCCACACTGGCCTTTGAGTCCTTTGTCTCAGAGCTTTGACCCAGCCTCTTCTCTACATAGGATGTGCTCTACTTCCTGCTCTTTTTACTCTATAAACTCCTATCCTGCTTCAGCTCCTAACACAAATCTTACTTTCTGAGGAGACTGTTCCTGCTGGAAGAGTAGATCAGGCTCCTCTGCCACATGCTGTCTTAAGTAACTGAATGTTTTCTTTGTCACGATCATCATAGTTCATAACTAGGAACACTGGTGTGGAGGATAAGCTCCACGAAGGTAGACCATGTCTGTTTTGCTCACCATTATATCCCCAAAGTGCCTAGCACAGTACCTGGCAGAGAGTAAGCTGTTAATGAGTACTGCTATTATTATCTAGTGAATGAATGTTGAGATGCCCCCTGTTGGTGATCCAGGATGGATCCCCTGTTTTCCCCGGAGTACCTGTCCTGTAGCAACCTTAACTTAATTGTTACCTTTTCAAACTTTTATACCAAAATGCTAACTAGGGGAGAACTGAAGGACTTCCTGACTTCCCATGTCAGGAACATTTAAAAGGGACTTCTAGAGACCACTAGTTCTGTAGTGTTCCCAACCAGGGTAATGACTTTAGGTTTGGGACTTTCAGGCTCTGAAGGATAAATAGACCCAATAGCAGGAGCGGGTATGGGATATATTTTAAGGTCAAAGAGGCCTTGTTTCAAAACCTGTCAAATTTCAGGGCCTACTCTGGAAATGTAGAAAGGGTTTTAATAAGGAAGGAACCTCATCTCATTATTTAAAAATAATGTTTACAAAGAATTTGTAAAAACATCCAAGAAATGCATGTGCCATATAATATAAATATCTGTACATATATATACATTTATCATTTGATTTCATTTATGCAAAAATATGCATTTCTAATAATAGCTTACCCTATTGAGTTACTTACTGAGTCACAACAATGCTATAAAGTAGATACCATTATCTCCGTTGAAGACGAGGAAGCTGATCCCAGAGAATATGTAATTTTCTCACAGCTAGTATAGGGCAGAGCTCAAATTTGAACCTTGTCAGTCAGGCTCTAGAGCGCACACTCTTAACCACTATATTAGAGAGAAATCCATCAAAATGTTTACTGTCTTTGGGTGATGGTTTATTTTTCTCTTCTAATGTCTGCATTTCATATATGGATATACTATAGGAGTTGAATGATAAGTTTTTGGATAGGGAAGAAGGTGAGGGGTGAAATCTGAAGGACAAACATGGTTTAGAGAAATACCGCCATTTGCGACAACATGGATGGACCTCAAGATAATCATGCTAAGCGAAATAAGCCAGACAGAAAAAGTTGAAAATCACATGATATCACTTATATGTGGGATATAAATCTAAAAACAACAAATGAGTAGGACAGAGACTCAGACATGGACTATAGACTAGTGGTTACTAGTGGGGTTGAGCAGGACAGAGACTCAGACATGGACTATAGACAAGTGGTTACTAGTGGGAGAGGATGGGGGAGGAAGACAGGGTAAAGGGGGGCAAATATAGGGAAATAGGGGGAGGGCGAAGGGGTAAAGGGGATCAAATATATGGTAGCTGAAGGAAACTGGACTTTGGGTGGTAAACCCACAATAGAATATACAAATGTCAAATGATAATTTATACCTGAAAATTATATAATTGTATTAACCAAATGTTACCCCAATAAACATAATTAAAAAAATTTTTTTAATAATAAATAGGAAAAAAAAGATAGAAGACTAAATTATCAAGCTAAGATTAAGCTTGATATGCAAAACATATGACATATTTTGAGGGTAAAAAAATTAAGCTTTCCTCACCCTTCTTTTCCCAAATTTAATAAATCTGCTTTGGACTCACCAAAAAAAAACAAAAAACAAAAAACCCATATATTTTTAACAAAAGAATTCACCCCACTTCCTTTTCCACTTTTCTAAATTTTCCAGAACTGATGACCACCCCAATTCTGAAGGCCACTGAGGCCCTGTCTCCAGAAGCTGAAGCCAGCACAGCACTCATTGCAGGTAACAAAGGCTGAGTCAAAACCTTCAGAGTTCAGGGACCTTGAGTTTGGGGGCCGTCTCACTCCAGAGACAGCAAGGAACCCAGTATGATAAACTAGGATTTTCCCTAAACAGGAAAGCACCACAAATTAGAGACCAAATCCATGAATGGGCTTGTTTTGGCATGTAGATTCTTAAACACACACACACACACACACACACACACACACACACACACACACGACTCTGAAAGACTTCGAGGCTTCTGTTTGAGGCATTGCCAGTAAATGGTAGGTTGAGATGTGGCCACAAACAGATATAGGTACATATGGGCTCTACACTCCAGTATGTGGGTAGGGACGAGGATATGTGTGGTTTGTCAACTGAGTGAGCAAGAGGATGGGAGGGAACAAAGAACCTCCTACAGGATGGCTATGGATTAAAAAAACCCTTCCTGTTGGGATAAGCTATTTCCTGTTTGCCTCCTTCCTGTTTCTATCATAATCATCAGGAACTGGTTGAGAGGGAGTTCAAAAGCCTGTGTCCTTAGCTTAAGCACCAAGAGTTAGATTTCATGTCCCATGGAAGCTGGGCTTAGTGGGAGAATATGGATTTGGAAGTGGACACTAATCGACTAGAACAGGAAGATCCTTATGAAAAGTGAGGGAATTGTCTAATTCAGAGGACCCGATGAATTACTGAGACCTCCTCAATCATGAAACCTCTCTCTATATTTTCCCTCCTTTCCAAGTTGTTATCACCGTGGTCTTCCTCACCCTGCTGTCAGTCGTGGTCTTGATCTTCTTTTACCTGTACAAGAACAAAGGCAGCTACGTCACCTATGAGCCTGCAGAAGGAGAGCCCAGCACCATCCTTCAGATGGAGAGTGACTCAGCCAAGGGCAAGGAGAAGGAGGAATATTTCATCTAATGATTCCTGGGTCCCAAGGAGTTTATTCAGACTCTAGTGATAACACATTGACTATTTAATTTATTAGATGAAAGTTTTATCTGAAGCCAGTGAGAAGCCTAGATTGATATGGGCAAACCTGAGCTCCTTCCAGAACACAGGCCCAAATTTAACATCACTGATGCCAGGAACCAGGGAAACGAAGAAAGCAGCTTACAGTGTTGTTGGCCAGGCCTTTGTAATACAGCAGTGTTTGTGACTGACCAACAAGGTGGAGCTATTCCAAGCAACATTTGAGTATGTGCCCAGTCATCTTCAATTTTCCACAGGTCAAAAGGAAGAAGAGAGTTAGGGTCACTGGCTGCTCCTGTCCCCTACCTGGACACCTAGTGACAGTCCCAGTGGAGATAGCGTTCACGGACGTTCTTCCCATTGGCTGGATACCACAGTGAAAGGCTGGGCTAGGAGCGGTAGGAGACTATAAGAGACTTTACCTCCTGATGAATGTGTGACATCCCCTAATCTGAGCCCTTCCTTTCCGTATTCCCCAACAACCTCATACTTAATGCTATTTTTATCAGAATTAAAAATTTTTCAGATTCGGAAATCAGATTCTCGTCTGCAGGAAATAACTACCTTTACATTTTGACTGATCCCTGCCTAAACTTTCTTGCCATCGTCTTTTGCTTGTTTAACTCTTTTGTATATATTCTCTCCCAAGCAAAAAAGACCCTAGAGAAGTTTCTAAAGTTCCCAGAACAATTTCAGATTTGAAACAAAGATGGTCCTGGGAAGCTTGTCTCGAGTGTCATTAGAAATGTACCCTGGGAGATGGACGATTTATCCTCCATCCTGGCAAGGACCAGTTTCCCAGAATTCATTCTCTGGATACACAGAGGGAACAAGGAACAATCTACCTACCACTTTCCCACCAGTGTCCTTTGGATCAAGCCGAGAAGTTTCTTGGATCTCAGTCTCAAAATGAGGCATGTTTAAAAGACAACTTTTTTGGTAGAGATCATTAGTTCCCCAGATATTACTTTGGAATTAAGCTAGATCTCCTTTGAGGTCTTAAATGTATAGCCTCCATTGTCAAAGCTCAAGTCCACCCCAAGTTAAGACTCAAGAGTTGAGGAATCAATCTTGGCAACCTAGATTCCAGTTTTCAGTATTTCTCCACACAGAACTTTGGAGAAACTGAAGGTCATCCTGAAATTACATAAATTCTAAAACATTTTCCTCGAGTCAAACTTTGGGGCAAGTTAGAAGAATCATGTTCCCTTATTTCTAAGTTTATGTTCTGAATTCCTCTGGCATAACAGACTTTTAAGAATCTGAAAGAGCTTAAGAAGCGAAGAAAAGTTAAACATCTAAATGGAACTCATGAAAATGGTCTAATCTTAGCCTTGTCCTCCTGCATTTATTTCAAAACTTTCATTAAAAAAAAAATGGCAGCAGCACCTAACCAAATTCTAGGTAGAATATTAAAGGTATCAACAGAAGAAATCTAAAAACAAGCCGAGTAATGAATCCTTGAAGTGAGGTGTAATGCAACTTCATCACTTTATTCAAATCTTCAAAATAGTCTTTATTCTACATTTTTAGTATAAAAAAATCCACAAGTTAAGTGCACCACAGTGTAGAGAGAGACATACAACGCTGAACTTCCATAACAGTCAATGGTACAGTCAAACATCACATGTACAGAACACAAAATTTAGATGAACTGAAATTATAAAATAAAATCCAATTGCCAAAAATAAAAATCAAAATATTAAGGATCCCTGAAATATTCTTAACCCTATGAGATTTCACTGGACTCAAGTCATTTTGTAGTGAGGTGTTCACAATGACCCCGTAACCTAGCTTAGGAATTCTTGGGAGCCATGAGTGGCTGCATCAGACACTTGGACAATAAACGGTGACCAATTTCTGATTTGAAAACTCCCCTTAATTTGGCTTTATAGTCAACAAGCTTGTGAAATGCATCCTCCTCTTTGCCCCCGCCCCCCATTTTAAACAAACTTGTTTACTGTACAGTTTACATTGCTATCCTTTGTTCGAACAAGCTTAGTTTTTCTGGCACCAAAGCAAATTTGGGTTTGGTTCATGTATGAAAAGACAACCTATGAGGAGGGTCCAAAAGGCACCCTCCACTTTTGCCTGAGGAAATGCAAAAGCAGAAGTAATGGGGTCTGTGCTTGAGGCACAGAGGGGATTTCAGAGGATCCTTGTGAAAGACTAGTTAAAAGATGACAAGTGGGGAGAAGTGCAAGGAGAGAAGGAAATTAGTCTGACTGGCTTTCTGTCCTGCACCATTGATTCAATGGAGAGTGGCGGGAGGGAACGGAAGACTAGGGTTGAGGGTGGGATGTGGGACAAAGGATGGAAAGGAAAAGGCAGACAACTAATGCGTTTCATTTATAACAAGTAATATAAATCAAAGACATAAAGGAGATTAAAGACCAATCGGAATAATTTGGCAACTTTAATTCTTAGGAAGATCAAAGTTCCCTCCAAACCTAATTTGATGTTTTATTACTAAAAGCAAAGACCAGTATGGTACAGTATTACTCCAGAGGAATTAAAGGAAGATCCTTAGGGCTGCTTCACCCACATTCATTTTATGAATGGATACCTCCCCTACCTCAAAATGCTTTAGGGAGGTACTGCTACCATTACATGGTTCCTTATTAACTTTGAAAAGTGCCTGAAAGTTTGGGCACCAGAAAGACACCCCAACCACATGTGTCTAAACTGCAACTTCAGGTTAATATGACTAAAGCAGTTACATTGTGAGAAGTGCTGAAGGTATGTGATGTCTTTCCCGGCACAGAGGTGGCCTTGGTTCTTCACCAGATGGTGTAGCCACCATCTGAGCCACCCATGAAGAAGTTTCCCTTCCGCTGAGTTACAAGGACATTGGCTCCCTGCATGACTGCAAGCTGAGCAGCATTGGGAGGGCATCCAGGGGGTGGAGGCTGAAAAGACAAGACAAGATTGATTGGGCACAAAGCAGCTGATACAAAGGAAGTAGACACAGGTGAAACAGAGAACCTGTTAAGAAGATGGCAATGTGCTGACCAGTAGCATCTTAAGGAGCTCGCTCTGCCACTAATCTGGGTTCTAAAGCAGGTGTGTGAACCCAAAGATACATACAGGAAAGGGAGCCTACCACTTATTCAAAGGATTCCAGCTCCAAAATAAGGCCTATGGATACTTTCTGAATATGGGTAGGCCAGATCCATAGGCATCTTCAGTGATTTCCTACCCATATTCCAAAAACAGGGATGGAGTGCCAGGTCCCTGGCCCCTATACCACAAGGTCCCCCTATAGTTTTCAAATGACCATGAGATAACCAAAAGGCTCCACCTATTGACACCAATTCCTACCTCATCTCTAACATGTAGTGAGTAGCCAGGCCTCAAGGCCTAGCAAGGACCATTTGGGCTAAATTCTCATGTACAGGGGAGCTAAGCAGGAGACATAACTAAAATCCCTAGTATCTTTCTAAAAGCTACTTAATAGAGATTTTGCATTCTTCTTTTTTAATCATCATGGTCTCTAATAAAGTACCATGCTGATGGCAAATATTAAGTAAATGCTATGGAATGAATAAGGAACATTACTAGACCAGTTCACTGTACCAAAGTGAACTGAAAAAGAAGCAGGCAGGACTCCTGACAGGAAAACAAAGGCATCTGCTTAACTGAGGCCCCAGATGCTACTAGTCTGCCACAGTGCTGCCCTCTCAACCACTTTCTACCCGACTAGTGAACGTCACTGGTTGCACCAATACCAGCAACTATTATCAAAGAATGGTGAAAAGATGAATACATAGTCATAAAAAGTTTAAATACACAAGGGATGAATTTTCTGACAAGGTCATACTCACAGGAATATTGCCAGCAGTAGCCCCAGCTCCAAATCTGGCACCTGCATCATACCCTCCGTCCACCAGCACTGTTGAACCAGGTGGGTAGATGGGGCCAACTGGATAATAAGCCATGGGGACTGTAGAACCTAAAGGTCCAACAGCCACAGACTGGGCCATGGGAAGATACAGTGAGGTGCCAGGAAATGCAGCTGACATGGTGGGGACTGTGGCAGCCCCTGGGTGTACAAAGCTCGGACGATAGAGCTAGAAGAGGCAGAAGAGAAGGTAAAATGTTACTTTATGACATTCCTATTTCAGATTTCATTCCCATTTTCTCTTTAATGAGTCAATTCTTAATTCTCATTGTGCAGAATACAATCTATGAGTTATACAAGTTGCCCTTCTACTACCACTCAATAGTCTCCTGCTATAACTAATGTTAGCCTCAAGGAATGCAAATTCATCTTCAACCTGTGTCAGATACATAAAAATAATCTGAACTCCCCCAAATTAATGAACTATATATTGTTTTAGATTATTTACATGAGCAATCTCTTGTTTGTGAACAGTAAATATGTGGAATCAGACTTAGTTAAGGACTGAAAATGTGACCCAAAAGTATTCTCAACCAGCTCAAGTCTAGTAAACTGGAAGCACCTCTGAGTAGGCAGGTGGAGCATCAGTATAGGGTGGAGCCTGAGGAAGATGCAAGGTCTGAGGGTACACTGGATTCCCAGGAGGCTGTACAGGGTAGGTTGGCTGCGTTGGATATTGACCTGGAAGACAAGAAAAAGCGCATGTTCCCTACCATGCCCAGCCACTAAAATGGGAGAGTGCCTACTGGGTAGCTGACCTAGCAGGAGCAAGCAGAAGGGGATTTGCAGACTACTCTGGATGGCCTGATTCCCGGAATCAAGAAAGTGAGCATTCTATTTGCACCCTTATCACTGAAGATGTTAGATTCTAACTGGACAGGAAAGGCGCTCTTCCCACTATTATTATACCGTTGTAAGAGGAAAGTCCAGCTGGGCCCAGGTTCCTTCCAGAATGCATGACAAGTCTGGTCACCCGTTCTTGCCCATGTTTCAAGGGTACATCCTGCCTCTGCTCTGGGTAGTCGCTATAGGCCTGGCTGTAACTCGCTAAGACCTAGCGAGTAACGATGGTTATGATTATTTACCTCACAGATGCCTGCTCAAGGTCGACTTCAAATTAAAAGAGTGAATGGTGGAAGTGAACCTTGAGACCAGACAGGGTGAAGGGGAAAGTCTTGACTTGAGAAACTGAGGTCGTGTTCTACCAGACACACTGGTACCATCACAGGAACCGGGAGAAGTTCTGACCGCCAGCGAAGAGAAATGGAAAGCAACCCTTCAGGCCCTGGCCCGCCCACCAGCGCCCACATCTTTTCTAGTTAAGCCCGTGGGCCTGCCTGTGGTTCCGGAGCACAACACCCCGCCTTTGCCGGCTCTCCATTGGCCTACCCAAATCCCTGCTCTAGCTCCTCATTTGCTCCTGCAGATGTC